AACCATTTTTAGGCTACACAAGGGAAAACAGGCAGTTTACAGTATGTTTTTTAAGTGACTTATTTCACTCAACATGGTGGCCTTCAGATCTATCCATGGTACAGGTGACACAATTTTGCTCTTCTTTGTAGCTGAATAGTACTCCATTGTGTAAATATAGCACATTTTCTTTTTCCATTCATCTCTTGATGGCCGTCCAGGCTGGCTGCACATGTTGGCTATTGTGAGTCGCGCTGCAGTAAACATAGATATGTAGGTACGCCACCTCCATACTGATTTCCATAATGACTATATTAATTTATCTTCCCACCACTAGTGCAGAAGGGTTTTTTCCTCTCTCTCTCCCATCCTTACCAGCATTTATTGTTTTTTTGTATTCTTGATGATACCATTGTGATGCAGTAGAGGGTTAGGGGATCTCAATGTACTGTATTGTACTTTGATTTGAATTTTGGAGAGAGGCAGTAGTTATAGTGTTCATCTTTTTTTTTTTTTTACAGTGTTTATCTTAAAAAAACAATGCAACTTTCAGCTTCTGTATTTCTATTTATATTCGAACTCTGTATTTTTGGAATGCATGAAATGTTGAATATTGTCACATAATGTTTCATTTAATGATGGACAGCATATAAGATACCATACGATTATATGGTCTGGTGGTGCCCTTGCTGTTTTAGTTTGTGTAAATGATATTCTTGTCACAATGAAATTGCCTAATGATTCATTGCTCAGAAAGTATGCTGCCACCAGTATTAAGTTACGTGTGTTTGCATTTGCTTTCCTTTGTACTAGATAAATTCTGGCCTTTTTTTTTTTTGGTGGTGGTGGTGGTGGTCTTTCAGTACTAGGAATTAAACCAAGAGCCTCAGATAAGCTGGATAAGTGCTTTAGTGTTAAGTTACATCCCCACTCCTTTTATTTTATTTTAGATAGAGTCTCCCTCAGCCTCCCCAGTAGCTGAGATTTTATACATGTACCATCATGCCTGGCTTGGAATTTTTTGAGATACAATATCTGTGGTACAGCCTTTAGTACTATATATAGCAAGTAAGAAAACACCGATGTCAATGTATTGTTGTACATTAACTGTAGCTTCACACCGTATTAGAGACAGCAGGAAATCTAGGGTTCCTTGGGAAAAGACAGGAGTAAGGAAACAAGAGAAAGAGATGGTCTTGGGGAAAGGTATGATTTATAGATTAATTCATTTGACTATTTTTTAGCATAACTTCCATGATACAGACTGTGTTACACTCTGGAAATAGAGTTGTGAACGAAGTAAAAGTCCTTACAACTTTATATTCTGGTCAGTGAAAGAATATTTAGTGATTGCCACAAGTGCTGTTAGAAGTAAAACGAGAATGATTTCAGAATCGGCTCAGGTGGGAGGGCCATTTTAAAAGATGAGGATTCAGAATGGGGGCATAAAAAGAGTGAAACTTTTATCCAATTGTGTGCCCTCAGGAGATGTTGAGAATTGCACTAGAAATGTTCATATGAGGCTTGTAGAATATGAAAGTTGAGAACCACTAATTTAGCAGGAAAAACTAAGGTATGACTGCAAAGTCAGTTTTAGCTGTTCCCCCAAGGCTGAATACCTCATCAGTGAATAAGCTGGGCCTGGAATCCTATTTTTCTAGCTCGAGTTCAGATGCCTTCATTTTTCTTTTCTACAGTGTTTTTCACATGAGCATGTTCAACACCCCACCTTGCCTTGCCAAAATTGTTTCATTGACAGTGTTGTAGGTTAGAGATGACATTAAGCAGCTTGGGAGTTGCTTTCAGATGAGTAAGAGATGCCCATAAGAGGCACCCACAACTTCTTAGAATAGATGGAATTAAATGGTCCTGAGAACTTGTAAATGAGATTTATGTAGCAAGATCATTTACTTTCTGTAAACCATATGCTTATATAAATTGAACATAATGCTAGTTAAGCAGAAATTCCCTCAACCATCAACAACCTAAAATTTTATTTTAATACACTTGTAGGTTTCATCAAATAAGGAAGTTGTCAGCTTGGTCTGATTAGATTAGGAGCATGTGGATGGAGTGGTGAGTTGTAGAATCAGTTTTGAGACCTGTGGTAAGTTGAGGCTAATGGTGTTTATTAGGTGGCGCCCACCCTGTGTGTCTCCTGATGACTCATCAGTTGGAGAATTCACATTTGTATCTATGTCAGTGTCCAGGCTCATGTTTTTATTTTTGTTTCATTTTCTGGTGAGTGGTTTGAGGCCTACAAGCTTCCTTAGCCTATCACAATGTAGAGCAGAGGTTGGCCAGATGGTAAATAATTGAGACTTTGAGGCCACATAGTCTCTGTTGTTATAGAGCTGCCTTTAAGCACAAAAGCAGTCGTAAACACTGTGCACATGCATGTGTTGGCTGTGTTTCAATAAAACTTTATTTGCAAAAACAGGTTGAACTGCAGCTGGCCCATGGGTCCTGGTTTGCTGATCCTACTTTTGTGAAGTAAGGTATATGGGACATACTGAGCAAGCCGAATAAACTCCTGCAGTAGTCCTTCAGTCCCTAAAATTTGGGTGATTTGAAACTACAGTGAAATGAGTATTTGACCTTTATTTATCAATGACAACAAAATATGTTCTGATATTTCCATAAGTTACATTCTTTTGAGGCAGCCTATATCCTTTTTTGAACAAATGTAAGAAAATCTCTTATTTCACAAGCTCTTACTTCAGAATATGGTTCTCTGTTTTGCATTATAAACATTTCAGTAGGAATTTAAAACAAAAGATATTGAGATATATTCTTTTTTAATCAAGCAAAACTGAAATTAAAATGAATTTTGGTAACAGAAGACTAGTCAAAGTTGTTCATTTTTTAGGCACCTCTTCTTCATTAAGAAATCAGTTCATCTAGTGTATTCATAGTTAGTTGGTGGAATGGCAATTTAAGAACTAGCATCTTTACTGCAATGAAATATCCAGTTGTTTATAATGAGGCTTCTATAGAAGTAAGGAAATGCTTTGTGAATTAATGAAAAGCCAGAAGAATTTCACTGTTCATGGAAGTAGAACATATTTACTCAGTGCTCTCATAAGGAGAAGTTGCCATAACCTTCTTACCTAGCTAATATTAGTGGGAAGTGACTTCCACTGTGATTTTTGTTTTCTGGAAAATTCTTTGTTTTATGATAACATTGGTGTTTCCATCAGGATTTTTTAAACCAGTGGTGGGCTGCAATATGAAATTAAAGTAAAAAATTTTCTAATCTTTAAGCTAATGTCTTGTGCACTCTTACTGTCTTCATAGTATTTGTCAGAGAAAATTTATATAGTTGGTTTCCAGTGGTTGCCAGAATACATGTGTGCTTGTCCTGCACTTTTTATTTGACTCAAAATCTTGCATCTTGATTGTGTCCCTTTCCTTTTGTATGTGTTGCTTTTATGTCTTTTTTGCCTCTGTCCTCTCCTGGTTGTGCTGTGGCAGGTCTCCTTTTCCTTGTAGCAGTCTTTGTCCACTTACTAGCTGCTTTGTCTTGGCATCTCTTCAGGCCCAATTTCAGTTCTGTAAACTTTTTTTTAAGTAAGGTCAAATAGGTAGCAATAAAACACTAGACTAGTGCCAGACCTATAGCAGTCAGACATACACGGTTAACCTCTTGACTTGGTTTGTTCCTCTGCAGCTCCTGATTTGCTTGTGTATTTTCTTCCCTGTTCTCCGACATTTCACTCAGACTTGCTTGCCTTTTGAGTTCTGGTACTCTTTGTCATGGCCCTTGTACTTCTACCTTGGGAAACTCTGCCATCTGCCTTCTGGCCCCATCTTACTAAGCTCCTTTGCAGTCACCACCCTGCAGCTCTTTATTTCCATCCTCAGCCCCATGTTTTGGAGTCTGCTTTGCTTTACTTTCTTGCAACAAAATGGACTTCTGATTTTTCTTGTCCTACTTGACTGTGTGCTTTAAATTTGCTTGTCTGACTTTCGAGTCCTCTTGTCAGCCTCTACTTGTCTGTGCTCTGTAAAGTTTTGTTGGTTGGTTTCCTCCCCTGCCTCTATCGTACAATGAGCGCACCTCCTGGGGTCTCCAGTAGCATTTGTGTGGATGACTCTGGAACGTGTGTCTAACCTCCCACCCGTGTTCCAGCCTGGGGAGCCAGGATGTCTCAGATTCAGCATGTCTAAACCCCAGTTCTTCTCATTGTCCCTTGACAGCTCCTCCAGATTTTCTTCAGCTGCTAATGACAGGGCTATTATTCAACCACCAGATTTGGGTGCCCCTTTTCTCCCTTCCCACCCTCATTCTTCACATTGCACTAGTTGGACTTCTCAGATTTATCTTTGTATTGTTTTTCCAACATTTTTTGTTATGAGTATGCATGGAGATATATTTGGGAAAGAAATTCACTGAAATGTTATAGTCTTTTTGTCTCTGGGTAATAAGATTTTTATGTTGTCTGAATTCTGGTTTTTATAACGGACCTTTATTATATTCTTGTCCATGGCCTGCTGACTTCCTTCTCAGCCCTCCTTGAGCTCTGCCTCTGGGACACTTAACTCTTTCCTTAGTCCACTCACACTTTGCTGCCCGTGCTGTTTTATTTGTTTCCTGATTCATTGGTTCATTGTATCTGTAGGCGTCACAGGGCTGCTGTCAGGTAAGCTTTCCTTAATGTCGCTCTTACCCAGCAGAGTGTGTTTCTTCCATAAACCTCTAGTTCCTCCGCCTTTTAAGGTCTTGACATGTGTATTTGTGTTAAGCCCTTTAATAGATTGTAAGCTCAATGAAGGCAGAAATTGGGTTTTGTTCTTCCCTTTCAGTTAGAGTCTTCCAGTTTTTCCTTGGGAATAACTCCTTTTGACTTTTGCCATTGGCTGTGGTTTTGGTGGAATGGTAAACTCAGGTGGCCTGCCAACAGGATGCTCTCCTGGATTTGAACTTTGAATCATGAGCTACAAGAACTGACAGTGATTGCCACTGGTGGCGCCCTGCTGAGGTGCTCTGAAGAAGCCACTCATTAGCTTTTGCCTCGCAGATCGCTGGAGCTGCTCTGACTCCTGAACTCTTCGAAGCCCAATTCTCAAGATTTTCCTTCACACCTGTGAGATACCTTGTATCCTTACTATAAAAGCATCTCTTTAAGTCAAAACTTTTTCTGTTGCTCTTACCCAGAGAGTCCTACCAGTAGAGCTGTTAGGATTGGAACTAACTGGACTTAATCATTCTGGTTCTCACACTGACTCTCATGTTTTGTTTTGTTTTTTTTAAACAAAAACAAAAATAGCCAAAGACTGCTGCTGCTTTGAAACGTACGCTAGAAGCCCTGATGGACAAAGGAGCCATAGTACGAAACTTGGAAAACCTGGGTGAGCGAGCACTTCCTTACAAGATCACCGCTCACAGTCAGCAGCACTGGAGAGGAGGGTAAGTCTGTTCATAAGCATGTGAAAAGTGTCGCTGACTGGCTCAGTTAAGAATACCGATTAATATCAGGAATTACCATAATGTCACCATAGACCCCTGTGTGCCAGGTGTCCTCAGGTACGTACTAGAACTGTAGCTGTGTTGTACAAGTAGGGTGTAGTTATCCTGCCCTTTTGTAGACAGTAATTAGAACAGAAACACTTTGTGCTAACAAGGCTCTTGATGAGAGAATGAACTCATGATTGTAGGAAGCTTTTCTGGTGAGTTTGACCATATTTCCTCCTTTGGCTTTGCTTTGCCTTTAAAACAGCTCAGTGAGCAGTATGTTTTCTGCATTTTCAGTTCTTTCTTTGTAAATGCATCAGTTGCAGATAAAGTATATTTTTTAATTGGCTTTACTATTTCAACTAATAATCACATTTTTCTGTGCTGGCATCTCCCCCCCCCCCCCGCCAGGTTACAGCAACTTCCTCAAACATGGGAAGGGTATAATTTGCTACTAATAACTGTCTTTGTGGAAATTCTCTGAGAACAATTCAGAGATTTTGTTGGAAACTTCTTTGAGCCATTAGGGCATCAGATTTATATTCACAATTTCTGATGTGAAGGAAAGATCATTTTACCTTGGTGGATTTCCTTGAAGTGGGTGTTAGGGAAAATGGAAGTCAGTAGTTGGCACAGTGGGAGAAGTTCAGGGATGGAAGATGCTGCTCTTCCCCCCGGTACTCTGCAGCTCTGCATGCCCTTGAGCAAGTACTACTTGGTGTTTTTCCGCTTCTTTGGGCACTGCACTCAGATAGTCCATTGTCCCATCCATTTGTTATAAAAGCAAATGATAATCTCCACAGATGTGTTCTGTGGCACTAACATTGCCTTAGCCTGTGCATCTCCTGGTCTTGTGCAGTTGGGATGAGATGAGACCTGCATGGAGTCACGCCTCACATGGAGGCTTTCGTAGTGCATTTAAACCGTCTCCTGAGGGGTGGCACATATTACAGATTGATTGCTGTATTACAGATTTCCTTTGATTGCTGTACCTTGTTTTGTGCTGGTGTTTAGCTTCTTGAGAGTGCTTTGGAAAAAGAATGCACCTGAGTAGCAGGAAATGCACAGGGGCTGGGCCTTTTCTGCAATCATAATCATAATGATAATGAAGGAGGGAGACTGGGGCAGAGTTGTACTTGTAACCCACCTACCTGCCTACCTGCTTTCTTCTCTCCTGCCCACCTCTCTCTCACTCTCCCTTCCACTGTTTCTTCTCCTTCCTAACTTTTATATTAACAAAAGGATGTGGATTTAATAGTGGACTATGGATCTTTTTGCCTTTTTGTTTAACAAGAGACCATATGCTAAATACGGTGATAATAAGAATCCCAAATATTCAGGAGGCTGAGATAGGCAGTAGGATCCCTTGAGTCCAAGAATTTTAGGCCAGGCTGGGCAACACCAAAAGATCCCATCTCCCAAAGAAAGGAACATACAAAATCTGGCCAGGAAGTACTAGCAGGTTGTTGGGTGAAAGGCCTTGGACAAGGAGAGCAGTTTCTTTTTGTGTGCTTACAGGGTGAGAGCCAGGCAAGCTCTGTAGTGCCAAACATCCTAGTCCACTGGTGGCGAATCTGTGGCATGCATACTGCAGTGGCTGTTTGTATCGTTGAAGGCTCTAGGAGGTTCACTGTCACTGTCCTGGTTCTTTGACTACATTTCTAACAAGTGCCTGATGCTTCTGTGCAGGGCCAGTGCATGTTGGGGTTAGGGGTAACAGGGTGTGGCTTTTCTTTATAGATGGAATAAATTCAGGTCCTGGAAGAACCCACCGGTAATTGGATTCTGTATGAGGTGCATGTGTCTCGTCAAGGACTGTCACAGTCACTAAATTCATTGGCATTTAAGAATATATTTCTGGTTATTTTATTTTAGACTCCTCAGCAAAGTAGGGGCAACACTTGTACAGTGAATTACGGAAAAGGGATGCCCAGCCAAAGTAGGAGAGGTGCAGGTTTTAAGTTTTTTTCCTGAGATACATCAACATCTGGTGTTTGTTTAAGGTACAGAGTACATTTCAATGAGTAGTCTCTGAAACACTAATTTTTCAGATATGGCCCAACAAAACCACAACAAAAACCAGGGATGTATGTGGACAGTTAGATGTGGAAAGCCTTGCATGACTGAGTCCCTTCTAGAAGTTCACATATAAATGGTAAGGAGCACTTCAGTAAGATCTCTTTATTTGACCATGTCACCTTCTGTTTTAGGAGCACCTATGAATATTCTCCATGGTAGTTTTTGTAGATGAACATAGGAGGGCTAGTGTATTTGGAGTTACGTGAATAAAGATTTGGAATTGAGTGGTGTGTCCAGGTGTCTGCAGTAAGGAACTTAAGCTTAGTGGATGTTTTCTTGGTTCAGCTCATACCCCTGTAATCATTAACCTCAGCCATATTTATATCAGGTTTTTTCTTCATTTGACAGATTCTTCATGTGCATTGCATATAACCAAGAAGGTGTTGCAGGCCTTTATCAAGTGGATTCATGTGTGCCAGGACTTCTACGTGTTAGCAAGGCTCAGTTTTTAAAAATGATTAAAAGGAATCAGAATAGGATTATTGAATATGCACTACCACTCAGAATTTCATCTTATTTTCTGCAGCCCTGGAAGCCATAATATATCTGTTAACTTTGATGATCTTGATGCTAGTGTGAGAGTCCCTTTCGTTGCTGCCTAATGGAGTGAGCCAGAATGCCCTCCAGAGTCCACATTTCATGGTGGTGCTGTGTGTATTGTGTGTTTATGCTTTTACATTTAGAGTATGGTATATCCTAGTGCCACGCCCCATGCGACTCCTGAAGTTCTTGGGGTTAAGGACTGCAAGAGGATGAGAAAATATGGAGAGAAAAAGCTGGGGTCTGGTGGACCCCTTATCTTCTGGATGGGAGGAAAGGTACTGGCTCCTCCCTGCAGGGGTGTTTATTTATACCTTTTAGCAACTTAATGGCACATGACACCCTGTTGTCATAGCAACCCATTGTTCAGATTGTCTTGGGGCTAGGTGTTCTCTGGGCTGAAGCAACTTCTTCAGTGGCTTGACCAAGGCAGTCTTTGTTCTTGGAATGGTCATGCTCCAGACTTGCATGTGTGGTCAATTTCCAGCTTCAGTGGGTCCCAACATCCTAGTGGTATCTATAAGCTTCAGGAGGGTTTTTGTGATTTGTTATAGCTCCTGATGTCAAGGAGTTTCCATTCTTTTTCTTTTTTTTTTTTTTGTATGGGGGATCGAACTCACAACAGCATGTTTACAAGGCAGGTGCTTATGCCGCTGAGCTAAATCCCCAGCCCCAGAGTTTCCATTCTAATGTGTCTGCATAGTGTTATTAGCAAAGGAAGTACACATGAAGGTGCCTGAATGGCAGTAGTGTTAGCTTTCACAGTGCTGGTTCACAGCATCCAACACCCGCAATTTAAAGGAGGAGAGATTTAATTTGGCTCACAGTTTGAGGGATTCAGTACATGGATGGCTAACTCCAAGGCAGAAACATTGCGATAGAAGTCCATAATGTGACTGGAAGGCAGATCAGGGTGACAGAGCTAGAAAGGAAGAGGCCAGGGACCAAAGACCCAAAGATCACATCTTCATTCTCACTCAGAAGTGTCCTCTATTAATCATCTGTGTGATCCCAAAGCCAGTTGAGTGTATGCTGCACTCAGACTGCCATGCCAGTCTAGGCTGACAACCATATGTCTGTGCCACAGTTAATTCTCAGCGTATAGGGTAATTGCTATCCTCATTCTCCTACGCATGTCTCCTCTCTCAATAGCAGTCTCCTACTGTATACAGGCCAGGTAGGCTGAAGGGGAAAGGACAGATAGAGAAGTGCTTGGGTAGGAGAGATCTGCTGCTTTAAGATTAGTAAGGAAGTCTTCCCAGAGGAAGAGGGAATAATTTGAAAATGGTCCCTTGTATTATGCCATTTTATGCCAACAATAAAAATATAGTCATTATACTCCAAGTATTAATTTGGTCAGTTCCCACTTTAGAAATAGGTTACATTCCTGAAATGTATCTATAAGTCTTGTGTAAACTGTGAATTTGCATGTAGCTGGGGTCCATTTTCAACTTTTTTTTTTTTTTTAAATGCTGTTCTATGTTCCCCTTGGCAGCAGAATGGAGCCTGGGTCTGGTGATCCTTTTCAGGAATAAGGACAATATCTTACATACATGTAGCTTTTATTTACACTATTTTTCCCCCCAAAGTCAGTCACATAAGTCAGTTGCCAGTGAGGTGATGTGAATTTAGGAACAAGGTGGCTTCGACCAGATGCCCCTGCTGCTTGGTTAGTGTCAGGTCAGGGTGGTTAGTGATTTGGATCTTCTGGACCAGCTTCCTAGACAGATGCTTCTGGTCTCACTCATCACCTATTGCTATGAAAGCAGTGTGTTAGAAGGCCTAGAACCATTCCTACCTCTGGATTCGCTTTGGTCTAGTCTCTCAGTGTCACATGCTCTCTTTGATTCTCTTGTCTCTTCTGTGGGAAAGGAAAGGTAACGTAGAAAAGTCTTACTACTGTACCCTGTCTCACTCTGTAAAAGGGGAGGATGTCACATACGTAGGTTGGAGCAGAGGGAGTAGATGCTGCTTTAGACTTTTTCAAGAAGAGTCAGGCATCGCAGTAACAGCCCCTTTGCTAGAACACTGCAGTGTCTTGTGGCAGGGCTGCAGATGATTTGAGGCTCTCTTTCCACTAGATGGGGCTGGGCAGACCGATTGCTATTGCAGGAAAGGGAACTATAGAAGAAATGGGTCTACATTTCATGTTGGGCCTTGTGCATGTTACAAGAGGAAGCCTCAGGTGACTTTTGGCTCTGCCAAATTTGATTTTACTCCCTGAGACTGAGTTGACCTCCATGTGTTTGAATAAGAATTCTGTCTTTAGTATTGAAAGAGGATTTCACCTTTTTTGCTCCTTCTTTCCATTTTTATCTGCTTTAAATTCTGGGTAG